ATATCACCAAAGAATATTTAGTTACGGCAGTAAAGATAATCACTAGGTAATCGGAGCCACATGGGCGGGGGGGGGGGGGTCTCTGCAGTTCCACCTTGAGTAGCGAGAGTCCAACTACAACTACAAACCCGCCTTACGTTCCCCCCGCACTCAGACGCTTGTAAACACATACGAAAATCGTTAGACCATTGACTTTCAATGCCGGGACGGAGGGATACGCCGGGTGTTCGCCAGCCCAGGTACTACGTTCCACAGGAGGGGGGTTCAAAGATGGAACACTCCCCGTGTCTTGTGGGAATTCTTGGTGGAAACCCGGGAGGGGGGGGGGGGCAAGCATGCATGGAACTGAAGATGCGAAAATCGTGCTTGTTGTTGGCGTTGTTGAGTGGTACAAAAGAGGAGTCTGGACGGGGATTTGGACGGTGTTACATGTGAATACAGCTAGCAGGGATATAGACGATGTTCAATGTGAACCCAACAACAACAACAACAACCACAACAACAACAACAACAGCAGCAGCAGGTGGACTGGGATCTAGTTGATGTGAAATGCGATTTATGACAACAACGATGACATCATCATCAACAACACCAACAACATCATTCAAGGTGCTTCTGGCGGACAACTTGTTCGTGGACATGGCGGGCGTGTTCGAGTACGACCTGGAGCTGAAGGAGAAGGGGGACCACAGAAAATTCCTCACGCAAACGGCGTCGTTCAAGCAGGTGCATTATTTTGTTCGTTTGTTTGTTGTACTGCTGTACAGTCATGACTTACCAGTAGTTTGGTCGTGGTCGTCATGTACCTACTGCCTGTGTGCAAACATATCGAGAAAAATATTAAGTAAGACTGTACGTTCACAGATTTGTAGTTTTTCTTTTTGGTTCGATGCGGTTCGCTGGGCTGTTCGAGTCGGAAACACGTCAGCTTCTGTGAGCTGTTCGAGCTTGGGAAACGCCACTGGTGGCAGCTGGCAGCTGATTGACACCAACACATGCTCTACTGTCGTCTTGCGTCACGCCTTGATGACGCTACTGTTTCGCTCTGATGAGCTCTCTCCGGAGGCGCGCCTTGTATGAAAGTCTACTTTTCTAGGTCATGGTGGGAGTGTTCAGCTAACAACAAGGAATGATGACGACTGCAAACACACCCCGAAATACCGTCAAGCAATTGCATCGCGAAGCGAGCCACCGCGCAACTCGCATTTACTCCGAACCGATTCCACCCAACACCTCATACCAATTGTCATGATGCATACTATATATAATGTGTTGATATGTTTGATGGTGAAAAATAGTTAGCTAACAACAAGGAAATTATATGGTATCCAATCAGGTGCTGCCGATACCGGACGAGGAGGTGGTACAGAAGATTCACCAGAACTTTCGGATAACCTTCCTGAAGGATGCGCTGCTAAGGCCGATGATGGACGACGCGGTCGTGGGGACGCTCAACTCCCTCACGTACTTCAACAACACGGAGATCGTGCAGAGGTGAATGGATTGTCGTGCTGCTGGTGAAAGTGTGTCTTCAAATTTATAGCCGTGTAGGTGATCGATCGTCGCGTGCTGGTAAAATGTGGATGATTGTTGCTGTGTTGTTGTCTTCATATTAATTACCGTAGGTGTATTGTCGTGCTGCTGGTACATGTGGACGGTTGTTGTTGATGTTGTCTTCAAGTTCATAATTGTTCCGCTCTTTGCCTAGTACCTCCAAACGCCCTTACCGGTGCATGTGACGCAGAAGCCTTGCGTGTTTACGGGCTAATTCCCCACCTTGTGTTTCCTGTGTTTTTATTTTTTATTGTTATTTGCATCGACCGCGCTAACCGGCTGGCCAATGAAAAGAAAAACACGGTTTGTTTGTTTTGAAATAGCATGGACCGCGCCAATCGGCTGAACAATGAACTGACGGCAGTCTCAATGCACTCTGTGTGTTTGTGCGTGTGTTTTCTTGTTGTTACCGTCGACCGCGCTAACCGGCAGGCCAATATAGAAAATAACACGGGGTGTGTGTATTGAATTATGTAGCATCGACCGCGCTTACCGGGCGGCCATTAAAAAGAAAAACACAGGGTGTGTGTATGTTTTGTTGTTTGCATCGACCGCGCTAACCGGCTGGCCAACGAAAAGACGTCAGTCTCAATGCTTTTTTCTCTCTCTCTCTCTCTCTCTCTCTCTCTCTCTCCCTCTCTCTCTCTCTGTGTTTTGTGTTTGCTCCCTCCCGACACCAACATCCTTGGAACAAAAAAACACGTCAACAGCTTGCAGCACACGGACTACGTGCGGGACGTGTTCCTGCTGCTGAACGAGCCGGAGAACGGGAGAGGGGGCCAGAAGCGGCGGGACATCCTCATGTTCCTCAGAGAGCTCTTCAACATGGCCAAGACCCTGCAGGCAAGCGCATGCTTGCTTTCGTGGTGGTGGTGGTCGTCGTCGTCGTTTGCGTGTGGTCTATACTGTACCCCCTCCGTTTCGGAAATATAGGGACCATTGGGATGATCACGGTCGTATCCGACAGGTCGTTACACTTCGAGACAAGAGTGGTATGCACGTGCGTCCTCTGCATGTGTCTTTGCAAGGAGGGTTTATTTGTATTTCCGCACCCGGTGTCATCATTTGGACAAACGAGCTTTCCCTCTCCTATGTGAGGCGCGCCCTGTTGTTTTGTGGCCATCTTGTCTTGGCTGTCCTTGTCGGTTATATTTGCATACCGTACTGCCGGCCAGTGTTTCTCCTTCGTGGCTTTCATATAGAAGTGTGCATGTCCTCCCCGAAACCAACAAACATCATGTACACACACCACACAGGAGTCTGTTGTGTATCATTGTGTAACCGTGTTTTTTTTTTTTTCTGCTCGTCAGGTTGCGCCAAGAGATGCGTTTTACCGGCACCTGTGGGACGAGGTTCCGCTCTTCGAGGTAAGAAAAACGGGACAATGCGGGACAACGAAAATAAACCATTTGGATGGGACGATACTCCGACTGAAAGATACGGACGCTCGACGTTCACGGGCACCGGAAATGTGGGACGGGTGGGGTTGGCAATACGGAAGAGAGGCCAGCCTGTCGTTGCCCCTGGAGGTCCAGGAGTAGGAGCTCCAATCAGCGGCCACGCAGAAGGGTTTCTGGCCCTGAGGCCCATTACGAAACCCCTACAGCGGTGCTTGCCTTCAGGCGTGAAAATGGAAAATTGTTGCGCCTGCTTTCGGTGTGTGTTTGTTCGTGTTGTGGGGGGGGGGGGGGGTGAGCGATGGGTCATGGACAGAATTTGCTGTGTGTGACCACTGATTAATACAAGTGAATAAAAAAGCTTGAGGAAATGTAACAAACGTTTAAACGACGCAACATGGCGACGCGACCGTCGCTACCCACAGGTGTTCATACCGGTGTTGAAAGACCCCGACGCGAGTGTCATGGAGAGGACGGCGTGCATGGAGGTGCTGCTGGCCTCGCTGACACACGATCCGGCGCTGTTTCGGACGCACATCCTCAAAGAGTGAGGGAGAGGGGGGGCAGTAGGAAACACCCGAGAGAGAAGAAGCTCTCGATTGTTGTCGGTGTTGTTCGGTTGCTTTTGTTTTAGAAAGTAAACATAACCTCAACAGAAAGACTACCCGTTCGAGATATAACCTCAGGCGGAAGGTTTTATGTGGTGGTTGTATGTTAATTTATGCCTCGACGAACGGCGCCGGGGCTGAAAAAATTCCCGAGAATTATTAAGGTCTTTTTTGAAGATGTATTGCAGGCATGGCTCTCCCTCGTAGTTGTTTGTTTGTTAGGGGTGATGAGTCTACCTTTTGTGTGGGTTCCCATGAGTGATGGGCTTGAAGAATTCTCTGCCGTTGTGTATTCTTTTTTTGTGATCATCATCTCTCCCATACCCACTCCTGCCCCTTGAAACGCCGGCGAAAAAACACCCCGACATGACCCCCGCCTAATCTTCGGGGCGGAGATGTGATGAAAGGAAAAACAACGCTCATGGCACAGAATATCAATACTTCCCCGACAGTGTTAACATCCCCTTGGCAAGGAATACACCTAACCCACCCACCCTCCTCCTTTCTCCCTCCTGCGTATTCCCGCTACCCCTTCCATACACCGCGTTACCTTTTCATAACTTGCTTTTTTTGTCCCCTTCTTATCCTTGCCCCCTCCACACGCCGCGGCACTTTGTCGTACTTTTTTTCTTTCCCCTTCTGATCCCCCCCCCTTCCACACCCCGCGATATGTATGCGCGTCTTTTCTTTTTGTGGTCGTCATGCAGGGGCGGGCACCCTCTCTTGCCCCCGACGGTTAACAACCAGGCGAAGAGCACATCCTCCGCGGCGGGGGGGGGGTTGGGGTCGGGGGCGAAGGCAAGGGGGGCCTTGGGAACGGCGGGGTTGGGGGGGGGGGGGGGGGGGGGGGGAGGGAAAAAGG